TTTCTCTGGGATGGGAGAAATAGACAAAAAATGTACTTGAAAAATAAATAAAAATTAAAAAAAAAAGAAATTTTCTTCAGAGTGCCATTCAGGGGCTTTGGAGAAGTGACTTAGAAAATGCCTTTTGAAAACAGAGTTCATTTTATCAATGAAAAAAAAATTGAAATGTTTTTGGACTTTGGCTGACTGCAAAATCTAAGAAAAATCAATAATGTAATCATGTCATGGATTCTTTTTGTTCTTGGTTATTCATAATTTTTTACTCTAAGATAATTTGAAGCGCCTTATAGAAAGCATTGGTAAAATAAAACTGGCAAAGACTTTGGTAGATAAAGCCAATATAAAGTTTAGATTTGACCTCTGTGGTGGACAAAGGAGATTATACCAATTTAGTGAGCGTACAAAGGTGGACCATCTGCTTTAAAAGGTAAAAATTTAGTCTAGTTCCTAGAGTGAATCTTTTTAAATTTTGTCTTATTTTACACTACATGTGATAAAAGATGTATCTTACAGACGAGAAACCGAGGGCCAGAGAGGTCAAGTCACTGTTTATAGTCACATAGCAATTCGCTGTCACTAATCAGGACCAGAAACCATTCTTCTGCTCTGTGTGGTCCCAGAAATAGAAGGCAATACCTCATTAAAAAAAATAATACAATAAAATAAAAACAAGAATACCAGTAACCAAACAGTCACCCACAGAAGAGCAGGGACTATTAGAGCATGGGATGGAAAAGCCGAGGTATTTGAAACTAGCACAAGTTTCTCAGAAACAAGCTCAGTGTTGGGGGCAAGGGGAGGAACGAGAGCAGGAGCGCCGGCCCTAACTTGCCATACATTTGTGTAGGGGACCGGTTTGTCTTGGCCTGGCAAATGTGACTCAGCTCTGTGTGGAAAACCTACAGAAGCGAGGTGGTGGGCAGGAGCCAGACCTTCAAACTGAGTTTTCCCGTGGGAATCAGGCCTAGAAAATGCACACAGACTGTTACAGCTTGCTCTTGCTAAAACTCCATCACCCTGGTGTAAAACAACAAATGTATATTGTCTATCTTCAAGGTAATTTCCAAAGCCTATATGAGTTCTCCCAAGGAGAGAGCTAATGAGCTCATCGCCATTCCCCTCTGCATGTTATTTTTATTTTCTTGATTGTACCTAAAACATAGACAATAATATTCTATGTAATAGGTAATAAATCTTTCTCTGATGTCAGACCCCAGGAAAATAATAAAAGCCTGTCTAGGCAAGGGTCGAGGCGCTCCCCTCTTGAGGGAGTGGCCGAGGCACCATAGGCACTCTCCCCTTGAGAGAGTAGTCGTGTCTGTTCCCTTTTTCCACGCAGGATTGTTGTTGCCTGTGCACTGATTCTCCCCATCAGCCACAACAAGCGGACTCTGCTGGCCAGGGTCTGCCACATCTGGTGCCCAGGAACAGGGACGTAAGGGCTATCAGCCACACATTTACTATGAGGGAAAATTCAGGTTATCTATGTGAAAATGCCCCTCAGAAGGAAGTAAAATTACACAAACCATAGGAGCAAAATTCCAGGAAGGAAAGAAGGGCTGATCAGGATTGTCAGCCGAAGCAGAGAGGAGAGGGGCTGCAGTCCATCGGGGGTCTTGTGGTTAGGTGAGAAAATGGGAGGGGAGAGACTCAGAGGCACTGACTACAGACTTCCTTTTCGAGAAGCAGTAGCCATAGGGGTGAGAGGAGGGGACAGTGGGAAAAGGGGTTTTCAGGAGCTACTACTATAAAGGACACATGGACAAAACCAAGGGGGAGGGTGGATGGAAGGGAGGGAGGTGGGTTTGGCTGGGGTGGGGGAGTGCTGGGGAGAAAATGCAGACAACTGTAATTGAACAACAATAAAGTAATAAAAAAAAGAAGCTTGACTCAAGAAAAGAAAGACAAAAGGGGTCGGGAGGTGGGGGAGGCCTGTTTGTTTCATTTTGTGATCTGAGATTTGCCTGTGTTTTTATTCTGAGCCAAAAGACCTAGTTCAGATATAGGGTTTAAAAATACCGGCCAGAAAGGGGATAATGGACATAGTAGTTCCTGGAGAGGGCAGGAGGGCATGGGGTGGAGAGCATGTGTGTGTGGACTAAGCTTGGCTAGGAGGGGACCCACCCTTCCTTCAAAATAGAGGCCCAGGAGGAAAAGGTGAATAGAAATGCGATTAATTTGTAGTCAAAAAAAGGCAGGAAATTAGGGGAGTTCATGCCTGATGACTCTCATTATCTCTGAGATACAAAGCAAAATTATTTATAGAGAAAGGAAATACGACTCTGGGGTTGGGTTTTTAAATAGCCCAGAAGAAGAGTGATAATAGACTTAACATTGGGTGTACCCACTTCAGATTGGATAACCCAGATTGTACTGGACAATGAATTGTGGATTGCTCTCTATCCAGGTAGAGGAGTAGAAAATTCTAGCAAATTGTTCCATTGGTCCATTGCATAGCAGACGATTTAGGAGGACAGAAGGGTTAGAGAGTTGAGAGTGTTTAAAGAGGTGTCACTCAGTGTAAGCAGGAAGTGACAGATACAAAGCCAAGAGTCCCCTGAGAGTCTTGGCTCCTTGTGGCCCATTAATGGAAAGAGAGAGAAAAGAGGGAGGGAGCTGGATAGGTGAGAAGTTTTCAGAGCAAAAACAAAGCCAGGGCAAGTTCTCAGAATTGGTTTGCAGAGGTAGAATGGGGCTGCAAGCCATGCACTGAGGGGACAGGTCACCAACATGGATGTTGAAGTCCCCCAGAGTGATGGCAGGGGGTGACGGCTGCAAGGGAGTGACCAGTGGATCAGTAAATGACAATTAGAACATGACAGCATCAGTGGCGGGGAGTCCACTCAGAGCACAGCCTTATGCATTTGAGTCTGAAGGTAACAGCAGGGCACTGACCACAGCTTTCAGTCTTACGTGAGGGAGTCTACACAGTGTCCACTTGAAAGGCCAGGGGGAGCTGTGACCTTGGATAGACCCGAGGGGGTTCACATAGACCAGGAGGTGGTAGGAGAGCTTGTCAAAGACACGGGGTCATCTTGCTACAGAGGACACAGAGGGAAATGAGGGGAGGTGGAAAACATACCAGGCCAAGCAGGGCTGAGATTCTAGGAGAGGAAGCTGACCAGAGGGTTTGCCTTTTGGGTGGTGGTGAAAGATGGCAAAGGTGAGAGGCAAGAAGGTAATTGTCTCGTGGCTGCTGGTGGACTCGTGGCCTCGTGGCACCAGGTGTGTTGTCACCTGGACTGCTGTAGGATTTTAGGGGTCGGGGTGTGCAGAGTATCACCTGTACTTGCTTTTTGGTGGCTGTAACCTCTGCAGACCACAACTTGGCAGAGGAGGAAAAAGAAGAGATCGTATAGCATTGATAGATAGAGTTTGTGACTAGATATAAAGCTTTGCTTGTAAAGTAATCTTTATAGATAAAAGGAGCCACTAAGAGTGCTTAAGGGCTACTATATGTAAAAAGTTATTTGGTACTCTATCACGTTCTGAATAAGAATAATATGGGTGACTGTGATTGAATTATAATGCACCATGCCCCCTTGTTCTGAGGTCTTCGGTTTAGTCTTCTCTTCGACCCAATCACTTTTATCCTCTGCCATGTAGAGATGAGGAACAGAGGTTAAGTAAACTTGCTCAAGGCTAAAAAGTGAGTCAGAATTAGAACCCAGGCCTCCAAGGTGAGTGTTCTTGATCCTGAACCACTCCTCGACGCGGCCTTACAACATTCAGATGTGGACTCCTCAGAGTTATAACCTGACAAAGACACGAGAAATGAAAACAGGCCCTCAGCTCATGGTGCAGGCACCCAGATGCTACAGCAGGGTTAAACCCAACAACAAAGACAGGCCCATTTCCCCTGAAGATCCTGGGGATGGCTTCAGTTTTAAGGTCCGGGCTTGGCACTCACCCATGGATACGTTTACCTCAGGTTTTCTTTCTTTTTGTTTCTTAATGTAGAGAATTAATTTTTCTGTCATTAGAGCCTGTATTAGGAATTTAAAACACCTGGAAAATATAGTCTTGATTATTTTGAACGGATCAGCCTATTTTAGATTACGTAGATTTCTTATTTCTTCTCCTTTCTCTTTGGTGCTCTTTCACCTGACATGTTTCACGGTTGACTCGCACAGAGAGAAACTGAATATAAACATGTGGACAGCTATTCTAGCTCTTTATCAGTTATTCTCTGAAAATAAATGTATGTGGAAGAGAAAATGTGAGTGATAACAATGATTATCTGAGGTTATAAATTATCTCTACTGTTACTGTGCTCCATTGTCACAGGCTATTAAAACTTGATTGAAAAGTGGAAATTGGATTGCACGTATAATTTTTAAAAGTAAAGTCAAGATTACGTAATATAAGATTCTTTTAAAGTCTCAAGTTCATTGGAACATTTTATACATGATAAAGAGGTAATGATATATGATCTTTTAAAACAGGAAGTCATAAACAGCGTATTATTATTTGAGGCTACAAAGGTGGTTATAGAAATTACGTCCAGTTGTAATCAAGTTGTCCTGAGATTGGTGGTGTTAGCATATAAAACCACATACCCATTTTTCTAAGTTAATACAATTTTTCAACATGGATGAAAGTTTTATAATAATGATCTAGAAATGCCAGAGGAGAAAATGAAAGGGTTTGGGCATGTGAGGGGCAGTTTAGATTTAGAAATATCTTCGAAACATTCATATTGCTGTATTAGATGATTTGATTCACTTGCAGCACAGTGCCTTATACGTAGCATGATGAATTTAGAATGGGTTCTTGGAAACATCCAAGAACATATCTGATATTTGATTGTGCTAGCTTCTGTTACAACTTTAATTACCTTCAGTAAACGTTGACCTGGTTACTAATGAAAAGGTCATTTAATTATTCCCCAAGAAGGAAATTCAGGTGGACTTGACCCTCACTTCTATAATCACTTATTTTGAGTAAAAGCTAAGTATTTAATACCTTTGTGGTTATGGTGTGTGCTTTATATGTTTCAGATAGGAAAAGAACATGTAGGCCTAAAGGCTGTGACTGAAATCCTTCAGGATATTCAATACAAGGTAAGGCATTATTGTAAAGGAAATAGAAACCCTGGTTGTATCAGAGGTCCCTAAGGCCACCTCCAGGCTCGATGATTCACTAAAAGGACTCACAGTGACCAGCATTCACTAAAAGCTGCTACTCTCATGGTTGTGCTTTACCACAGCAGAAAGACACGCATGAGGAACCAGTACAGTGAAAAGCTCGTGGGGCAGAGTCCAGGAGGAACCAGGCCCAGCTTTCGGGTGTCCCCTCCCATTGGCAGGTGTGGGGATGCACCTCGTTCTCCCAGCAGTGAGAGAGTTATCTCCCAGGGTCATAACACGTGTGAGGTGTTGCCAACCAGGGAAGCTTCTTGAGCAGTGGTGTCTTGGGATTTTATTAGGGGTCTTGCACTGCATGTGGGACTGACCTCAGCCACTCCGACCCCAGCCTTCCCACCCCGCCCCTCAGCCAAACTAGACGTTCTTAGGATCAACTTATCTCATCAAATTGGTGTAGCATGGGCCAAGGCCTCCAACATGCAAAACACTCTATAAGGCAGAATACCCCAGGGGCTCAGAGGTTATGATACAGGAGTTTTTAAACAGCCATTTCTTATATAAAAAAACAATTTGTTAAAAAACTTTATTTGTTTTGTTTTTAAATTACAGTTGACAATACAATATTATATAACAAGGGTAAGTCTTAAAGACAGGCCATTTTTGAAATATGAGGATTTGAGCAATGCAGGCCTGTTGAGCAAAACTTTTTAGCCCACTGGTTACAGAAAAGTTGTGTAAATGAAACAAATAAAAATTGTGGCAGCGATACCTCATAGTATTTATATTTAAAAAAAAGACAAGTACACATAAAGCATAAGATAGTCTATCCCAGAGAAGGTGGTGTAGACTGATTTGACCCTGCAGTGATTAAGCCTAGCACGGCTGGAAAGCCAAGTTCTGTCATAAACAGTACCTTTTATGGCTACATTACCATCAGTAGAATCTGAGTGGCCTTGGAGGGCAGTAGTTTAATCCCATATGGCTACTCAAGGCACAGCACACAGATCCAAAGACCCAAAGGCAATCCTAAAACCCATTTGGGAATGAAGTCTCATTAGCTCCATGCTAGCACTAGCCCAGGGAATGTTGAACCAGGTAAAGGACCTCAACGGAAGATCTGAGAAGCCTTGGAATGAACCCAGGTTTCCCTTGGCGCTTACCAAGGGAAAGTGCCAACAGTCAAAGAAACTGGTAAAAAGAGGATACATTTTGACTGACATTTACTTGATAAAAATAGGTGGTGAAATTTTCCTTTATTTCTTCGGCTAATATGACATAAGTCATTGCAGAATTCAGGAGGATGGTGGGAGGCATGTAATCTGGATTCTGACCTGTCAAATAGTCTCTAAAAGTAAGGAAGAGACATAGAGTATATGCATCAATGTTCTCCGTTATGTCTGCATTCAGACAGTAAATTTGTAAGAGTTGTCCAAGGCCCATGACAAGTCTGTCTGCCCTAAAGGCCTGAGCAATTTAAATGGGGAAAAAAATACAATAAAAAATAAAATAAAATAATTAAAAATTAATGATAATTTTGATGTTAAAAAATAAAATAAAATAAAATCCCAGTCACCAGGTCACACAAAATAAAATAAAATAAAATAAAGGCATACGAAGTAGTTCAGAAAAATAAATAGCACTGTTTAAAATAGTGACCATTAATATGAATTACTGAGTAAGGCACACATATTCTTGTTGTGAACTAAGTCTGGCTTTGATAAAGGTTGACCGAAGTTGAATGTTTTCATTTGTGTGTCAGATCTTCCTGTCTGGAGGAGGAGGGCACATGGGAGAGGTCCTAGAGACGAATTACCAAATCCAAGTGGGACAAAATACGAATTTGGGAGGCAGGCTGTGATGCCGAGATCAAAGTGCCGGAAGGGAAGTCCAGCCAAAATGATTACACCAGGGCTCAGGCGTTTTCCCCCAAGGCCCAAGTCTCTGCTGTGGACGTGCTGGATGCGCAGGAAAAGTGGGACAGATACTAGATTGACAGTTGTGATTTCACAGCAGGAATGGCTGGGAGAACTGAACTTCGGTGGGAAGTAGCAGACTCAGAGCAGGAGTCTTGCTGGAACCAGACTCTGTTGCTCCAGTGAGAAGACAGAACAAGACACAAATCTGTGGGGTCCGATGATGTGATTCAGAGAAGACTTCAACTTGAATTTTGAGTGCTAATAACTCTTTTACTGTAAAGTTAAGAAGGTTTATTAACATGGGGTAATTTTTTTTCTTTTTTTAGGGGAAGTCCAAAATAATACCCTGCTTTAATCCTAACACTTTGTTACCAGGTAAGTGTGCATCTGATTGCATAAGATGAATTTTGACTGTGGATATGAGTACATTGCTTCCTTCAGAAATATTAAGAAAATTTTTTAATATTTCAAACAAAACCAAAAAGGTTAATGCATTGTATCTTCTACTTTCTATGTGTAATTGCTTTGCAACAAAATGAACATTTATCCATCATATTTAATCATGAGTTTCTCTGATATGAAGCTAAACGATTTCATAAGAATGACTTTTAGCTTATCATAATATGCTTTTTAAATCTTGCTGTTGAAGAAGCAATATAGATAAAAGTAGCTAGAACAGAATGGTTAAAAACACCATTGAAGCCAGACTGCTTTGGTTCAAATCTTGACTCTGCCAGTTATTAGCCCAGTGACCTTGGGCAAATTACGCAATCTTCCGTGATTCAGTTTCTCCATCTGAAAAATGGGGCTAATAATAGAACTTACCTCATTAATTTGTTGTAAAGAATGAGTTAATGTAGAATAGAATGTTACATATATCAAGCTTTCAGTAAATATTATGTATAATTAAGTAAATCCTCCAATAAAGTAAAAAAACAAACAAACATGGAAACATTTCTGCCAAAGTGACTAAACTTGATATATAGGTACCTATCAAGTTTTATCAAGTATATATATATTGAGTTTGCACATCATGTTTACATAACCATATTTGCATACGCATAGTAAACTGTCGATAGAAATCTTTGTAAATACTAGAGGGCTCATCGTGTTTTTTATCGATTATTTTCTTTATGATGATTAGTTTAAGAATACATGTAAGGCTTTAGTTTAAAAATGACATCAATCTGAGAAGTATTATTTGGAAAATTTGTGATTTTGAAGATCATTGTTTCAAGTCTTCAAAAGTATGATTAATTAACGTGCCTTTCTGTGACATGCCACGCGGCGGTGCAGACCCTCTGCTGCGCGATTACTGGGTGTACGAAGGCTCGCTCACCATCCCGCCTTGCAGTGAAGGCGTCACCTGGATATTATTCCGATACCCTTTAACTATATCCCAGCTACAGGTGAGTGTGGTACCTTAACTCCCCTAGAATGAAGCTCTGAGTTAAAGGTTAAACATTGTTTCTGTAAAAGAGAAATGTCTGTTTTCCGTGTGAACTCTCTTTAGATCAGTCATGTCTCTGCAGATGAAAGTTAAATGTCTCGAGCTTGTGAAAGCAACTGAAAGGTCAAGGATGAACAAAACCCAGTTATCCTTTATGATCTCTGTTTTAAAAGTCAGTTTTGATAAAGTAAACAGAAGTCACTGAAATAGTCAAGCTTTTGATTAGTCTAGTCATTCCTGTGTGTGGGTTTCCCAAGCATAGAGAGGAAGGGGGTCTTGGAAGTAAAGTGGCAATGCTGGTTTCTTCTGTAAGTCACAGGTGGGCTGGGAACTAGTTCTTCCTAGGCTAGCATAAGAACACATCTGTGGGAAGAAAGGTGAGGGAGTTAGAAAGAATGCCCTGGAAAGTTCCGGATTGTTCTGTAGCCCCATGTTTGGTCCTCTGCCTCCTACTTGAGCTCTGCATGGGTGCTCTAAATGCTCCTCGGTAATTGGCTGTGTCTTCCTAAAGGGGGGACTCTGCCAAAGGAATGTGTATTGGAAGTAACGATCTCAACTGCTTTAGAAAATAGATGACTTTCCAGTTAGCTATAGCTTTTCAAGAGAAAATATTTAGTTGCAATAACGTCTGTTTAGAGGGCAGATGTCAAAGCAGGCAGCAATGTTAAAAAGTACACACACTCAGACACAAGCATGCCTACTAAAATGCAATTTAGGGTAAGTTAGAAAAAAATATTGAATATGATCTTAAGATAATATATGTCAGTCTGTCCTTGACTTGAAGGTTGCACTGTTGCTGCTCCTATAATTTCAGAGAAAGCAGAGCAAAAATAGAAAATGTCTAGAGAGGCCAGTAAAAATGAGAGTCTAAATGAAAAATTGAGGCCTCATATTATTGTACTTAAGAAGAACAGAAAAGGAGGTAAAGAGAAAGTGAGAATAGATATATACAATAAAAGGAATAGTGAATGGCAGGTGGAGTCTCTACACAGCTGATGATATTGAGAAATATAAAACTTTGTGTTGAAGAAAAGAATGTTTCATCTTATAGGGTTAACATATGTGACTAAGCTGCTGGGTATTATGACGGAAGCGATTCTGTCTTGAATACATCATCTGCCACAGGATAATAGTGTCTGCACTAGCAACATTAAAAAACAAGCTCTCAGTCGTAATGCTTGTCTGTGAAGTACACAGCAGCTCAATTCAAGGAGTTTTCTGCTGAAGTGTGGGGTTGACAGTTAAACATGGCCTGCAACATTGACATCTTCTTGAGTACAAAGAATTCTAGAATATGGGATTGGAAGCACCTGCTTAGTTGAGTTTTTAATATCGTGCTTGGTTAGCAAGCAGTACCATATGGCAGAGAAAAACACGCAATGGGATGAATTTGAATGAGTGTAATTTTCTTTTTTTATGATCAATAACCATTGAATTACTTTAAGATAAACAGTGTTCTAAGCATTAGAAAGCCAAGTAAAAATTTTTTCAGCTATATTGTTGTGTTTGGAGATGAGATTCCACGAAGATAAAAATTTCATCAGACTTGACAATAGAAATTGTAAAACATATTCTGACTTCACAGAGCCATTAAAATATGAACAACACTCAGAATTGATAAAATGTGGTATTTCAATATAATCGCATATATGCAAATATTTGTGCATACACATGAATACACATATGGATTAATAATTAAGTTTTACTCTCATTTTTCTTTTTTCTTCCCTTCTTCTCCATCTTCCCCTTATTGATCTACTTCTTTTTTTTTTAAAGATTTTATTTATTTGTTTTCAGAGAAAGTGGAAGGGAGGTTAGAAAGAGAAGGAGAGAATCACTGATGTGTGAGAGATACATAGAGCAGTTGCCTCTTGCACAACCCAAACTGGGGTCTCAGCCTGCAATCCAGGCATGTGCCCTGACTGGGAATTGAACCAGAGACCTTTCAGTTCACAGGCCAGCACTCAATCCACTGAGCCACACTAGCCAGGGCTATTTCTATTTCTTAACTTACCTGCTTTCTCAAATTAAATGTGTCTGTCTTTGTCATTTCTTATCCCCTTCAACAGCAAGTAACACAAATGAAACAAAAGGATATGGAATATTTTAATTATTTTTCATGGTGTGGTACACGTCTGTTAGAATTTGGAAACCATTTCCATTTTGTCTCTTGTTAGTCTTACCTCCTCTTCATCATTCCCCAGCCCATATTTCCTGTGGATTGAGACGTGGGACTCTTCTTAGCTCCCGTCATCTGAGTTAAGGCACAGTACGTGCGTGGCCTGTGGGATCTGGGAGCACACTGGGGCCTGGACAGCTAAGGGTCTGATTATGCCCAGGAGCCCTCAGCAGGCCTTCCTTGTCTTTGTGTTCCACATGTGGTTTGAGGGGCTGTTAACCCTCAAACCAGGTTACTGTAGGACCACAGCATGGTTGTGTTTGAAAAGGTTTCAAGTGCTTTGGAACAACTGTTGTAAGCTTTTTTCCCCCCGTGTCTGTGCTTCTCAAGCAATCCCTGGGAGGGCTTGGTAAAGCGAAGATTGCTGGGCCTCGCCCCAGAGGGGCTGATTTGGTAGGTCTGGGGCAGGAACTCATTCCAGGAAACACACTTTGAGAACCGCTGCTTTTCATCTGCCGGCATTTATCTCCATGTGTCATTTCCACTCCAACACCAGAACTCTGTTTCTGAAGGGCGACACTGGACCAGCCCTATCCTACAGAAACAGGATGTGAGCTAACTATGAAGATGAAAATTTCTAGTAGCCACAGGAAAAAGTCAAAATAAAAGGTGAAATTAATTTGTCATCTATTTTAACATAATATATTCAAAATATCATTTTAACATGGATGTAATCACATCAATAAGTTTTTTTTTTTACATTCTTTTCTCACAGTGAGTTTCAGTGTGTGTTCAGCACATCTCAGCTCAGATTAGCTGCATTTCAAATGCTCGGTGGCCCCCTAGGACTGGCGGCTGCTGTGTTGGACAGTGCAATTTTAAGATTTGCTTTTTCCTCGAAGACTCCCTCTTTCCTTTCTTAAAGTGTACTATTTTTAGGAATTTGAGGGAAGTTTTGTGTCTATTTCTTCAGTGTCTTCCATGATACAGAGCACAGCCCCTGTGGTCATACACTCTGCAATCTGTAAATCTTGAGTCAGCTTCAGTACGTGTGGCTCATCAGTAACCATCCTCCGGTGATGTAACCGTCCTGTAACCATCATCAGTAACCGTCCTACAGTGATGAGGGGAGACAGTGGCAGAGACCAGGCTGGGGATTGGAACAAGAGGGAAGTTTACCTCTGTGTTCTGGGAAAACATGTTCCCTTAGCTCTTCCTCAGAAAATAAAAAAAAGATCAGATTGAGGAGTAAGTGATAGAAGAGAGTTGGTTTGTGAACGAGAGTTCAGGAAGAAAGGGGAAGCAGTGTTTGGAGGAAGGCAGTGAAGAAAATGAAACAAACAAAAGCAAGGCTGTGGTGCATGGAAGGTGCATGTTACGTAAAATCTCGTGATGTGCACATATACACGCAGACTGTTTGAGTTCAGTTTGCTTTTGACTCTTTCGATTGCTACCATAATGAATTGTTTTACTATAATTCATGTATCATCATTGTCTGATGACAAAAGAAAAGACAAGACCACCACCTTTTATGTGTTTTTTCTCTTTTAACATGAGGACTCATGAGGTGTAAGTTACAATAAGTCAATTAGCAGATGTACATGGGATCTTGGGAACTCCTAACAATAATGAGTGTCAAACCTCAAACCCTGGACGTTAGCCCTTTGAATGCACTCATAAAGAAAGCAGCCTTAAAGCTGAACTTTGAAACACCTGGTCCATGAGTCCACGAAGGTTGTAATAAAAGTCTTACTTAGACCAATGGGAGTGCAACCTGTTTTCAGAGAACAGTGGCTGTTCAACTCCGATGCCGTCAGAAGATGAGGCTTTGTCCCTGAAGTGTTGGATCTCTGCTGTCTCTCTCTGTTTGAAACTGGTTAAAAACAAATACCATGTTTAAGCAGAGTAGCATTAAAAATTGACAAAGCCATATGTACTGGTATATATGATAATGACCGCCTCTGTACTGCCCTGACATTTGAGTTTTGCTGAAGACTTTCATCCTGAGGTACTTTCTGTTCGTTTCTTGCTCTCTCTCACTTCAGTGTGGGGTAACGCAGTAGGCATTCGAAACCATTTGAAGTGACTAAAGGGTTTGAGGGGTGGTTACTTCAGAAAAAGTTGGCATTTCAGAAAGACGTGTTTTTCCCTCGATCTCTGTTGATGTTTGAAGTCTTCAAAGCATTGCTGTGATCAGAGAAAAACATTTCTTGTGAGATAGTTCTTTCTAAGAACGCAGTGACTTGAGACCAGCTCACTGTTGATTCGAATCCTCTTGTCTAGAAGCTGCTTTTACTGCAGGTGCTGCCTGCTGAGGCCTGGAGCTTGAAAGAGTGATCTTCAGTACAGAATATGTAAATATAAATTAACCCAGCTTTAAAATGAACTTCAAAGTCCATAAAAATGGAGCATTTAAAAAATATGTTGAAGCAGTCCAGTTTGTAGTCCATGCTGCTCATTGAAACATAGGATTACATGTAAAGTGAGTGTGAGGAGAGATGACTGTGTTTTCTCAGCTGCTGGTTTATTTCCAATCTACTTTTTTGTTAAATATTTACCCACAATGCTAAAGGTGTCACTTCAGAAGAAGTTGGGTAGTGGTTATCAAATACTCCTATGTGCTTGGAACTACACTGAATAATTTTCCAGATCCTCCTACTTACTTCTAACACCATCTTTGTGAACACTGTTATTTCCTCTCCATTGCACACATGTGGAAACTGAGGCTGGAAGAGGTGACGCCGTTTGGTGGTTTGGGTCTGGCATGGCAGAGCCAGGGTGCGAACCGCCTTTTGATGCTGAGCCCATGGCCTTCACCTTCATATTCTTCTTTTTTGAAAAGGCGTAGGATCCTCTGACTAACCAGGTTCCTTTCCACTCCACACTTAGGGAAAACTGAGTAAAAACTCATTCCACAAACAAGTAGCAGGGATTCTGATGCAGCCTTGGCTCTAGACCCTTTCCAGGTGTAGCATGGTGGAAGTGTTACTCGGATTCCCACTCTAAGACCAAGAAGGTAGAGGGAGAAACCGTCATGTATGTTAGACAGCCAATTACTCATCTGGCCGACACTTCTATATAAATACCGATACTATTTTTTAAAAAATGGACAGTTGTAGTTAGCTCAGATTTAGGAAATCAAACTGTATTGGAGACATGGAAAATTAAAACATTAGAAGTCAGATTTGTAACCTGGGTTCTAATCTAACAACTCATTTAATTTTTTTTCCAACTCTATTTCCCAACATGTATATGCATGGATTGAATTAGCATCTTCTGAGATTCCACACTCTTTGAATCAGGGAACTTCTACCTCAGAAAAATGCTCAGGTGAAATATTGTATATTATTCAGGGGTTTCCCGGGCCTTCTAAAGTCCATAGGAATTTTTTGATTTTTATTAGTTGGTCATTAGTTGATCCTTGTTCATGAATGGAAGAATTATATGGCTGTGCTGTATGAAGAACCTTTGTAGATAAAACCCTCTGATACACAGCTGTTGGACATCTGGTGGGTCGATGCTGATCAGATCACATTTGTTCAACATCCTGGGATTGTGCCGGATGTAGCCTGTATCAGTTGGACCAGAATTCCAGAAAAGGTGGCTGTGGAGCTCTGAAAAGAGTGGGTGGACTTGGAATTGTCAGACTTGGTTAATTTGGAAACTTTCTTCGCCTTCTTGGTCTCAGTTTCTCCTTTTGTGTAAAGAATGAAGAATATCTGTGTCGTGTGATTATGTGGCATTTAAAAGGAATAAGACAATGAGCCATTTAGTTAAATCAACCAATAGGTGGGTATGAGCCCGGTGATGTTCCTCGTGTGTTTGCTTGTTGCTTAAACACTTCTCAGAGGGTCATGTCTGGCTGGCTACAGGTTCTCACAGGTGCAGCCCTGGCAGGTCAGAGGAACTGCAGTGCGGCTGATGGGAAAGGTCCCAGGGGACTGTGGGCACAACCTCGTCACGGGTAATGGGAGACCACGGGACCTGGAGAGGCCACCTGATAAAGGGAGATGGACAGGAGAATCAATATTGCTAAGAGAGGAAGTCGGGCTGAAACTTTTTGGAAATCGGAGTTAGTCTTTGGACCTGTGATTCCAAAAGGCTGGAAGAGCAGCAAAAAAATCTTTTGATGAAGGAGACATTCATCTAATAAATCTAACATTTAATCCATGTTAACATACAGTAATATCAGAACTCATTAATTAATGATATACTTGGGAAGCCAATAAGAACACATTTATTCATGCAGGCATGAAAGATTTTTGAGAGGAGTCATATCATTTTTCATTAATTAACCCAGGAGGTTTCCATGGCTATTGGGTTGACCTTGAAATCTCTACTTCTGTTGTCTTCATTTCTCTTGCAAGGATGAGGTCTAATGTCTTAGGTCTGGAAGAATTAAGTCTGTTTTCCTCTTTTTGAGGTTTAGTTTTAATGTTTTGCTTTTTAATTGTGGTAACTTCTGCACATTTTAAGTCATTTATGAAACTCCAGTCTTCTTAATGTCTAGTAGATGACTAATCCATTTTTTCCTTGCTTGTATTTTCAGATTGAAGAATTTCGAAGGCTGAGGACACACGTGAAAGGGGCAGAACTTGTGGAGGGCTGTGATGGGATTTTGGGAGACAATTTTAGACCCACGCAGCCACTTAGTGACAGAGTCATCAGAGCTGCATTTCAATAGCCTAAAAGAACAGGAACAAGCCCGCCTTGACCCCCGGGTATGTGCAGATGAAGTAAGAAAATGGGCACATAGTTATGTAAACCTACCAGACCAAAGGCACTCTTGTGGTGATCTGGGTAATTCAGCAATATGAATTTTATTTCGATAAAGTTTATGACCCTTTTTCAAGCTCCATTAATTTAGAAGTGAAATTGTTTTATAAAATTTTCATAGTGTTGAAAAATATCTGCAGTCCTTATATTTCCCACCAGAGTGACCTGTCGTTTCAAACTTTGCTTTACTGTTGGCTTTCATAAGGAAAGGCAGGCTGAGACAGAGAAATGGGGGTGTGCAAGCACCCCTTCAGTACTTTACTGTGCTGAATCCCTGAAACTTCAGGGATCACCTCCTGATGACTGAGGACCAGAAAGGAAGGGGCTAGAGTATCTGAGCCTCGGAGCGGACCCTCATTCTTTAGTGCAGGTTTGATTGCATTGTTTTGGTGTGTAGGACTGGGCAGATCTGTTATGAATGAAAATACTTGTCCTATGGAAGTGCTGTTATTTGATAATCAAGAAGCACTGATTAATAATCTGAATATGGGTTGTTCATTGATCAAAAAATAACATATACGTTTTAATATATTGAATTCAATATATATATTCCTTGCCCTTATGGAACTCCAAAGTAAACATTGCAAACATGGAAAAGGTAAAGTCTACAAAAATGACTACATACTGAATTATTTCTGTACCTTGCAAATTGTCTAAGAATGCATTCATAGGTCAGCACCTGGCTGACACACTACTGCTTCCTGTGAGAATAGTATCTGTTGAAATAATTTCTTAGGTAAGCAGGACAGAGATTTAACTGTTTAATGGACCATTGGGAGTATATAATCACATACTATGTGAATGGTACAGTGAATGGACTGAGGAGTCACAGATGAATAGAAATCTCTGGCATCTAGAAGCTCACAGTCTCATGAACTAGACAGTAGACACAGGAATTTTAAAAGGTGATCATTTTGTCCATGTGTTTCCTAATCCATTTTTCTTGCCTCTCTCTTATTACTGTATTCTATGCACCCAGTATTCCAGACAAACTGTCTTTTTTCTTCTGCGACTGTGCTTTGCTCACACAGTCCTTCCCACCCTACCTCTTGCCTGTTGATACCCTGGCTCCCCTACAGGCCCGACTCAAACACCGCTCTCAGCGTGAATTCTTGGCTTCTCTTTTAAACTGCACCTCTTATTTCACATCCTTTCTTCCATTTAGTTTTCCCATTTCCAAATAGAAATATATCACTTGTATATTTCTTATTTTTTTGTTAGATTTCAAGCTTCTTAAGGGTTGAAACATGTGTATTTTACTTTGAAATCATTGTGACACATAACACTTTGTATTTTGAATGTCTAGACAAATTGGAAGTTTCTTAGAACTATGCATAATGTATATTCCAGTCATTCATCCATTCTCAGTTTCTGTGTTAGACAGTACAATTTCTCTCACCTTTCTAACTTTGGAGCTGATGAGAGCCAGGCAAAGTTGCCTTTGGTAGGAACGAGAAGAAACTTTTAGTAATTCATATATTGGTAACAATGGAGAAAATCCAAGAGTGCTTTAAGCCAAGCCTTATAGTAGAGGCTAAAAACATATTTAGTTAAAAATCATTATTGAGTACCTACTGTGTGATTGATTCTGGGTATGTGGAGTTGAGAAGAACAGATGTGGTCTCCACACTCATAAAACAGAGACTGAGGTCGGGAGCCTGACATAGAAAAATAAAGAGTTAAAAACATGCAACTATAAACTGTAATAAAGTCCACAATCGAGAAGATGAAAGAATGCGATGATGGGTGTTTCTGAGAAAAGGAATATCTTCTGCAAAGGTCCTGTCGAGGGGCTTGTCCTTTTGGAGGCGGTAAGAAGTTAATGCACTGAAGCACCTGAAAGAAGGCACAGTGAGTCTGGGAATAGAATCACAGTGGAAAGTTAGGCAGGGCCTAACAGACCCTCTTAGAGGGTCTATCAGCCACATGAAAGCACCTCTATTCCCTTGTCCATGAGTTGAGATCTTATAAAGACCTTTACTCAGGGAGTGGCCTGATTCCATGTATGTTTTGAGCTGATCACAGGGATTGGATTATAGTGGGCCAGGGCAGGAGTAGGAGAATATTTCAGAAATCAGGTAGCCAAGGTGAAAGAGGGCTTAGATGCTAGACTGGGAGCAGTGAGGGTGGAGAGACGTTGATGTCTGTGAAACACACCCTTGAAAATGATAGCTAGTGATAAATTGGATGAGGTGGAGAAAAGTGGAAATATCAAAAATAAGTTAGGGGGCTTGGGGTTTTGGAAACTGTGTGGATAGAGCACCACTGAGTGGTGCAGGAAAGCTGGAGGAGGCTCCGTTTGGGATGGAAGAAAGACAGAGTTGGGTGGTAATGCCCAGAAGCTGAGGGGGCTGGGCTGCAGCGAGGCCGGGGAGGCTCTGTCAGCTACTGCCCCTGCCCCACCCTGCTCTGTGGGGACCACGTGGGCACTGCCTGTGCTGTGATGATCCACAGCTTCCAGAACAGCCACAGAGACCTCTCCTTTGGGCCTGGGAAGCGGCAGAGAGGCAAGACCCACATCATGAAGTTGGTAGACACGGAGAAGGTAGCGGATGAATTGCATATGCCATCTCTCCCTGAAATGATATTTGGAAACAATGTTTTAGGAATCCAGCACTGTTCTGGTTTGGGGGATTGAGTTCAGTGCTACAGATGCTTTACTATAAGATGTGTCAACAACTACCAAGGAGGGCTTAAAGTAGCCTGTGCACAAGAGTGGCGAAAAAGCAGGACGGAGGGTGAAGACTACAAGGAAGTTATTAAACTGTGTGATTGGGCCTGTATAACAGATTATTAGGAAACATTACTTGGAGAATCATTTAACTTAAAGGTTGTACCAACAACAGATCATAATAGATATAGAGAAATTGAAAGCTAGAGAACAGATTAAGTTTTTTGAATTTCTCCTGTTTGAGGATGAACTTTATGATCATGGAATTTCAAGCCTAAGTGTGAAAATTAAATAACGCCTTCCAGCTTTTCCCTGCTGTTGAGGTTTTTCTTGAGTATTGACGGAGTGCTTATCATAACGAACAACACAAGACATCACCATGGAGGCCGGCAAGAACTATGTGTTATGAGAAAATATGTCACGAGAGAGCAGAATTGCTCATTTAATGCATGTTTCACCTTCCCGCCACATGAAAACTAATGAGATTCTATTGCATTCACTGATCAAAGAAGCAGTTTGTGAAAAGCTAATATTTCCAGAAAAAATTGATCATAACCCCATAGACTCACAAGAAATTGCACTTGTGGAAGAGAATGTGATGTACCATATACTCACCATGGTGATGTTGGAGACCTTGGCTATTGTCATGGGGATGTTTTTATTATGAAAATTAATTGACTTGTCTGTGTGCAGATTTTCTGCAGTCTTAAAGGAAAAAAAATCAAAAGATCGTTGCAGACCGGTTCCACTTAAAAAAAAAGAGTTGAGTGGGAGCACATTGAATAAGAGATGCCTGTCACTCACAAGTAATGGGCTTGCCATGAAGGTAGCTGGGATTCTGACAGTGGAGAACAGAGGTCCGAACTGAATACGGGAGTCACTAGCGTAGAGATTTTACACTGATGCGTAATGTTCTAATGCAGCACAGGCATTAACTCATTAAATGTTCATAAAATCTTTATGAGTCTTTACGAGTGTGTTAACCAAAGCACAAAGCTCACTTGCCCAAAGTAATACAGTCTCACAGCGGGACTCGATGTGGGACCCGGGGAAGCCTGGGTGGCAGAGCCCTGTTTCTTGGCTTCCTCACTGGAAGTCAAGGTGGAGCATGATGAGGGGTGCACATGCCGTACACAGGATGATGTTGAGTAGGAAGGGAGAAGGCAGAGATGCCGAGTCATGGCAGCTCTCGATTTGCTGAGCTGGGAGGGGAGCAGAGGCTGCAACAACAGAGGGGATGAGATTGAAGGAGACTTTTTTTTGTTAATTGACATAAAGTTGACAAACAGCATTGTGTAAATTTAAGGTGTACATCCTGTTGATTTGATACACTTAAGTATTGCAATGTGATTACCACAGTAGCATTGGCTAATGTCTATCACGTCACATAGATAGCATTTCTTTTTTTTTGTGGTGAGAAATGAGACTTCTTCTTCTTTATTTTTTTAAACAAAATAAATACTAGAAATTCTTGGTATTTTCGGGGGAATGAGCCAGTAGATGGAGGGGCTGAAGGCACTGTTTCTCAGAGGGGTGAAAAGTTGAAAAAGGATGAAATCCTAAGCAAATCTGGAGACTGACTTTTTTAATGGAGTAGACACTTTATGAGCTTTGATAAGAAGGAAGAAAAGATGATGGTTTATAGTCTTCGGGATTCTATAACTTGTTTTTATTATTTCAGGAAGAATGGGGTGGCAGCCAGGAGGGGCAAGAGCAGCAGGGAAGACAGGAGACTGGAGTGGAGTGAGGGGTCGGAGGCTGGGCTTGTGGGAGCAGCCCCCGTGGGAAGGGCAAGAAGTGAGGTGTGAAGAGGTTTGATGAACATGAATTTATGATCTTCTCCAACCTACGCTGAATTTGCTATCTGTGAATATCAGTAACTATGAATGACACTTTTTAATGAAATAAGTTTCTCTTGAATTTTTGATCCATATGTCCGTAGACCAGAGTTACCTCTCTATAAATATTTAAATAAACAGCACTATTTTATTGCTCTTACATATGCACACACAGTGTGAGAGTTTAATGTTAATGAGATTATGTATATTTTGGATACATCATATTCACAATATGATAGATAATGTATAATTTTCAAAGTCTTAAATCAATTATAATTAAGGTATTTTAAAAGAAAAATGGATTTGTGTCCATTTCTTGGAGGCTAAGTTTACTTAAAGGGCATCATTTTCCCTGAAATTCCAAAGAGTGGTGCAAGACTTCTTTCAAAGGAAACTCCAATTCTGTCTTCATCTTTTTATGAGTATACTTTTGATC